TGTGGACATCGGATTGACTGTTGGCTAGCGGATTGGATATTGGATAGCAGTCTCAAAATATCCAAAATTTCAGATATCACTCTCACCCAAATAAGCGTATTGTGGATAGTTAGTGTCGATCAAAAAATTGGTTCAAAATCGGATTTCATGAGAAATGTTTCAAAATCCACAAAAAGACACGTGAAATGAGAGAACATTTGAATTGTTTCACTAGGTACAGAATCGGTTTGCCTACCGATTTTGTACCTCGTGGCACAATTCAAACAATACTTGAATTTGGCGTGACCACTTTTTCCTTTAAAAAAGTACAAAATCGAGAGACAAACCGATTCTGTACCTGTAGAAGAAAAGAAGGCACAGAGCAACAAGGAGTTTAAAGTGCAGGAAGATTGGTTGTCACCTGGATTTGATAATACTACTACTACACTGTCCAATTTCAATTTGTCCACCTATTTTTTCGTTCAAGATCATTTTCAGACCCATCAAATAAACATTTTCTATAACTTTGACTAATTTCTGGAATATTCATAATTTTTGTACAGAAAATTCAGATATCTGGTGAAACTGAAATAAAGGCTACATGGTACATGAAATCATCAATTCGAGCTGTTTCTATACATGCGAAAAAAATTCTTCAAATTTCAACCGTCTTATATCAATGAAATACCCATAAGAATGCCGTGAGAGACGGAAAATGTCATGAGAATTTCAAAAATTATTGAAACGATAATTGTGGAAAAAACCAAGCAGGAGCGTCACTCGCCAGACGGGGTTGTCGTCCAAAATTTCCTGGGAATGTATTGGTACCATGATGCACATGATTCGACATGACACGTCTAGAAAAATCGTAGGCGGTCAGACTAAAAAAAAATAGAATATCAAGAAGACAAATGTGAAAGGAAGAATCAGAGAAAGATATTGAATTGGGATAAACAAAGAGCAAGAAAAAATAATTAGTTCCGGTGGAAGTTTCACTAATTGCTTGTATGAATCTTCTTCTGAAAACAAGTATATTTGTTGATGCCGAGGCAGCAACTGATTGCAAGAGTTTTTGAAGATGTTAATTTTTCTTTCAGACTTGAACATCATTCATCTATCAGTAATTTGATCCAGACTGCTGTAAATATTGGAAAATAAACTCAAGTTGATGAAGATTAGAGATAATGATGGAACTCGAAGCTGATGGTGAGGAGAACGAAAAGAGAAAAGGTGCAGAGATTCATGTTAAACGAATTCACTGAATAACCTTTCACCAGGGGATCTCCATTTTATAGAAAAAAGAGGCGGAGTTCAAGATATTGAACATCGGTGACTCCGCCGAGTCATGAAAAAACTGAATACTATTTGGAAAGATTAGCTAATCTGACGGATTAGAATGTTTGAAAGAACATCAGATGCTAACTGCAAATGTCACCGGAAAATAATAACAAATCTGAAATGGATATGTTATTTTTGTAATCCAAGATATTCCTATGATCTTTCTCATCTCTCGACAAACCTGATAAACAAGTATGCTCTCAGCTGTTAATCACATCCGACGGCTAACAGACACACCTTGATTTTTAATCAATTTCACAATATTGTATGTAGGTCAGGAATTCTAGATTGTGTGAATCAATCAATACAGTTTTTGGTGAACAAAATTCTCAAACCCTGACCGATGCCAGAAGTCGTTTGTATTCATCCACCATTTTAAGTGCCTTCAGGAACTTTAAACCAAGAACGCTTTTTTTTACTCAAAAACTTTTTTTTGTAAAAAAAACTCTTCAAAAGTCGATTAAAAAATTTTTTGTGATATATTTCGACCAAAAAATTCCTATCCGGGCCGGGCCGGGTCTTCAACAATTGTTGCAAGTATGGGTTATAGTCTGTCAAGACACCTATGAAATTATTGGAATCCGCTCGCCATCCGAGATTTATGAGTTTCGGAACCAAATCGCGTTTTCAGTGAAGAACAGCGATTCTCGAAGAAGATTTTCTCAACTTTAGAACGTTTTAGGACACGATGTTTGTTGTGTTATACTAATATTTTCAGGAATTGTTCGATGGTCCAGACCCATTTATGAGGGTTTCTTTGTTGAAAATAACAAATCTCCAGACTAATCAGACTGATTAGAAGGCGGGACCTCCCCCGCATGGTGCGCCTTTTTTCCAACACGCGATGCCGCGAAACTTTTTTTAATTGACTTTCGGGCCAATCATACCTAACCGACAGGTTAATGGGGTCTAAAACTGCATATAAAAGAGCCCCCAATGCAGTAGAATTTGCCATTTTCCGAGGGCAATCATGTTGGCTTCGGTTCTCGAGGATGGAGATTTGATGGCTCCGGAGTATCGAAGCTTGATGATCGTTGTCAAGAAATTCATAACAATGCTCTTCATAGTTTGCTTGATTCTCACAAAGCTGTTCACAATCACATACATCTTATCATCATTTGGAGAAGATAAACAACTCATCAAAATTGAGACACATTTAAGTGTCTTTGGAGTCCTGTTCCTTATTCCTATTTGTTATTGCAACTTTTTGGTGAGAGGATACACGGTGTTCTTGCTTTGTGCTATTGGATCTTTGGTGAGTCTAACAATAACGACTCTGAAAATACTATTGAAATTCTACAGCTCATCGATACTGTGGAGTTAATCTGCATTTTCACAATCATCGGTTCTGGATATTGGATCATTTTTGATTTGGGATACGTCGCACGTTAGTACCTATACATTTAGAAGGTCTGATATGTTCTAATTTCAGTTCTCCTCTTTATCCTGATCAATATACATAACATCTTCGAGTTGAAGGAACAACAACAGCAACCAGTAGAGGAGATTCCGTTGACGGAGACGATCAACACTCGATACAGCAGCATCGGATTGAATGGAATTGGGATTGACCGAATGACCGATTTCGAGAGAGCCGAGAGGAACTTGCAGATCTGGGACGAGTTTTGCGATGAGATTTATCGCCATATCGGAAGTACCAGATCTCTCTGATTTCTGATTTTTTTTTGTACTTTGACATTTCAATGAATACTTTTTACACTGTACTGTTTTGATGGAGGGAGCAAAGCTGAAAATGGGGAGCAAAATGGGAATTTCAGCTAAACGAATGATCAGATTGAATAAATATTAATAGGTCACATTCGAAATCGAATAGAATGAAGTTCGAGCCTCATGGAAAATTTGAGGAAAAAATTTTTTTAAAAGAAGTTCAGACCAAAAAATGGGGAAAAATCGGGAAAGAAAATTGAGATAAAATTTGAAAAAAAACCATCGGGAAAGAAAAATTGGACGGAAACATGGGAATAAAAACTTCGGGACACAATAAATCGAAGTGAAAAATTGGGAAAAAATTGGGAATCAAAAATTCGGGCAAGAAGTTGAAATAACAACAGGAATGGATATGAGGACAAAAATTGAGACGATAAGCTCGAAGTGAACAACTGGGAATAAAAAATGGAAGTGAAAAATTGGGAATAAAAAAATTGAAGTGAAAAATTGGAAATGAAAAAATCGAAGTGAAAAATTGGGAATAAAAAAATCGAAGTGAGAATTGGGAATAAAAAAATGGAAGGGAAAATTTGGGGATAAAAAATCGAAGGGAAAAATTGGGAATGAAAAATGGAAGTGAAAGTTAAAGGAAAAAAATGAGATTGAAACCATTCTGGATAAAAAATGGTGTGAAAATTCGGGGGAAAAATTTAGGTTGAAAGTTTGAGGTTAAAACCAAGACTGGTCCTCCAAAAGGTGTTTTTTTCCTATCACTTTTACATTGTCATTTTTACACACCCAATGATTGACAGAAAAGCATGAGATGCACCGCGTAGAAATGTTGATCCCAATTAATTTTCCAATCTCTGCAGAACGGAATCCAACTGTCCTCATAAAATCTTCAGATTGTCTTTAACAGTAGATTTTTTTTTCAATCGCTACTTTTTCCACTCTTCTACTGTCTCTCTCTCATTTTTGCAATCAATCTAACCTATTTTTTTCTCAGTCATTATTATTTTATGATTCCACTTCACTCTTCTGATTTCAAAAACATCATTTTTATTATTCACTTCTAAGAAGCATATCATGTGGGAGTATAATTACCAGTCATCCGAAGAAAGAGCTCTATCCCTCTTCTCGTTTCTTTTTCAGCTCTCTCATTTCCAGTGAGCGAATTGTGAGTGTTTCCATTTCACTCACGTTTCCAAGGAGACATCAGCAGGGAGGAAAACTCCTCGTGAGCCGGAGCATATGCTTATCTTTCTTTTGTTGATAGCGCTTTTTTCTTTTGCTTTCTTTACGAATTTCAGATTTTTTGATTTCAGGTAATGGAGAATCCAACTGCTGAGGACATTATAATCCAAAAGGAAACGGAGAGCGTTGCTGCTAAGATGGAGGTTAGTAGCATAGAACCCCGAAAAACCATTACAGATCCCATTTCAGCTGGTTAGCAATCACAAACGCTTTCTCTGGGCCTGCAACCTCATCGTTGAGGTGGGAATCATGATGTATCACGGAATGCTGCTCAGAATTGTTCCAAAGTATTATCCGTTCATGCGTAATCAATTCTGGATCTCTATCGGATTCGCTCTCCTTAACATCCTGGTCACTCTCAAGATGAAGAAGTGTTTGCAAGGTTTCCAGGCCTCTGTCTCTGTAAGATCCATGGATTTTAGATCTAGCAAATGCTTAATTTTTAGTTCCTCCATCTTCTCTGGATCCTCTACGGATTCGCAACCATTCCAGTGTTCATCACTGCCATCACAGAGCCAATCGCCGTTTGTAACCACGCTATCCACTCGTGTGCCATGGTCAAGATGGGTGCCTTCGAGATCAAGTTGGCCATGGGAATCGTTGCTCAGGCTGCTTTTGTGATCTCCATCTTCGGTAAGTTTCCTAGTTGATTAGAATTTTTTAGAGATAGTTGTTTTCCAGGAGAGTTGAAGCGCCTTGCAGTCCTTATTCAATTCCCGTACGTGGCATCCACCGAACTCTCTCACATGGATCTTGCAGAACAAGACACCGCATCCGTCTCCGAGGAGAACGGATTCCGCGAATTGTCGGCTGACCAATTGGAGAAAAATCCGAATGATATCGTCATTGTCGCTTAAACTTCATGAAAAGTTTTCATTTGTCTTGTTCCACATGTATCTACCACATCTATTTTGACACTTCCGAATAAATGAATAATTGTTGGAAATTTTTAGATATTTCAGATTCTAGCTGACAGATTTAATGTCAGCTCAAGGAACGTTTTTGAATATAAGGACAACAAGAAAGAAAAATGCAGTCTTGAAAAAAGAAACATTGATCATAAGATAACAAATGTTCATGGATCAAGAGTATGCTCTTTGGGTTACAGTAAGACGGGTTGAAAAGAGTGTAGTACGGTTTGGAGCTCAATCCATGAATTAAACAAGTCTGGGGCATTCTCAAATAATGGGCTGACACTCGGCAGTATGCACAGCTGCTCTAAATAGGTTGATCTTAAAGTACAGTAGTAAATATAATTGAGTTTCTGTAATCTGATTTGCAAGAGCATTGATACAATAAGACCTATAAGAGGACGAATTCTCAAAATTTCAAAGATTAAGATTACTTTCAGTGAGCTATATTTTGGTCTGAAACTGTTTTTTCTCACTATTTTTAAGAATTATCTTCTGGTTAATTTCTGGTTTTTTTTTGGAATGTGGCGCCACTGGGCTGCTTCTGATTTCATTCGGAATTTATCTTCCTTTTCAACTGTCAAAAAAGTTACATGCACTTTCTCCTTCCCACGCACCAATTTTTGTGTTAATAACATACTTTTACTAAAAATGTCGCATCATATTTTTGAATGATCATGTTTCTCGGTTTTAGCGGAAAACAAAAGTTTCTTTCCTCGAGGCTCGTGCTCTTCCAACCGAAGAATAAGAATATGAAGACGTCAGTCAGAAGAGAAAATTATCAAGATTCTCTAATGAGAAGCTACCGTAGTCATGGCGACGACGAAACAACATGTAGATGATATTTATTCCTGTTTCACTCCACTTCTTTTCGTTTTCGTTTTTTCGATTTTCAAACATTTCTCAGAATTTTCAGATGACTTCGTTCAAATACTCATCGTACATCATCTTGTGGTTTGTCGGAAATGCCATCTACTATCACATATTTTTCTCTCACTATCCATGTGATCATGTTCGTGCAGTTATTCCAGCAGTGGGAGTTCTTCTGAACATTCCTATCACAATCTTGATGATGGCAAACACTCCATGGTCTCTTTCAAAAGCTAAGGATTTTGGATTCTACTATACTATTTTCATGTTCTTTGTGTTCCTTGTCGCTGGATTGTTTCTTGCTGGTCGAATCTCATCTCATCATTTCACTTGTGCGGACAACCCAGCGTTTTGTCTCCAACACAAAACCCGAGAGATATTTCTGGCACTTGTTCATGGATTAGAAGTCTTCTTGGTGTTCGGTGGACTCATTTTCTGTGAGTTATAACTTATAAGATTACAAAAAAGAGACAGATTTAATTTTTCAGTGGAAATTCTCCGCACTCAAATAATCTCATCACAATTTCTGGCACTGCTTCGACAACGATTCAATCAAGATTTGGAGAGGGGAGAGGAGGAAAGCAGCTGGATTTGACTCATGATTTCTCACAATTTGGATACTAATTATTTTTTTCATTCTCAAATTTGATTTCTTTATTTTCTAATAAACTTTTAAATGACCCGATTATTCATTTTTGAAAAAAAAGACAAAAATGAACAGAAAATGTTTTATCCGTCTGATTTAGTTTGAGATCGATCGCTGAAACTTAAAGGGGCGGCCACAGTAACAGGGCAGTAGTTAAGTTTTCAATCACTTTGAAAATTTTGGAGGGTTTGAAACAGACCTAATCTTCGCATTTGTAGAACCCTTTGAAAACTTCTAGCTTTTCAGCTGTTTGCCGACTTCTAAATGTCACTCCTTTTTGGCATACTTGTAAAATTCCGGGCCGGGCCTGAGGAAATTTTCAAGGCCCGGGCCCGGCACGGAAGGCCCGGTGTCAAAAATTCTGTATTTTTGAGCCAAATTTTGAGCTCTCAATATAATTTTTTCCATTTTTTTTCGTATTTCGGATTGTTTGTCTGTCTGATCAAAAAAGATCGAAAAACTCGAAAAAATTTTTTTTGGTCGAAAAAAATCACATAAGGGCCCTTGTGTGTTTTTTTGAAAATTTCGAAACTAGTGAAATGACGGGCCCGCCGGGCCTCCGAAATTCCGGAACAAGCCCGGCCCGTTACAAGTATGCTTTTTGGTCAGTTTTTGTACTGGAAACGTAAAAAAAGGCTTCTGGGAGTGCAAAGTTTTTATTCTAAGTCTGTTTAACATTCTCCAAAACTTCCAAAGTGATCGAAAATCTGAGAGCCGAGCGCCAGAATGGCCCAATATCAGCTGAAACATAGGTTTCTGTATATCTTATCCACTGTATATCAGATCAATCGCCACATTATACTCCGGTGAGACTTCCCGAATCTTCCATTTTATGAATCCTGACAGAATTCATCTCTTTCTCTCTGTTTTTCTTAAGATTTACACCACATCATCTTCAAAAATTTTTCTCGAAAACATTGCAACAAGACTCTTTTTCCTAAACCTATAATGAACTCAACCTTCTTAGAAACACAGCCACATATTTTCAGAAGCGAAACTTTTCGAAATCTCTTTAATTTCCACACTATCTCCTTCGACATTATGCCGCCTTTCATACATCATCCTTATTATTCCTTGAGAAATTTTTCTCGTGCTTCTTCTTTTTCTTTTCAGTAGCTCTGCTTGTTACTATGGTTACCTTGTCTCAACCCCCAATTCGATTGCACCTGACACCGCGTTCTGCTTCTCACTCTCAACACTTTCAGATTGAATTTGATACTCAACTTCTTTCAACATTGTTCTTAATTCTCAGATCGTTTCAAATTGTTTCAAAGACTTTAAGAATTTATCTATTTATTTTAAGCCAAGGAAGCGATGAAAATCGGGTGCTTTCCGGTTCGACCGCTGCTCTATACGCTCGCAGCGCTCGGAATCTTCCGTGCAGGATTCCAATTCTACTGGGGACATCATCATGTCTGCACAGCAATCATCCCACTCTTCTACTTCGCTTTCAACATCTTCTTGATCATCGCCGTTCACAAACGAGAGGTCAAGACTTTGAAGTGGGCTCAGAGAGCAACTGTAAGTTCTAGAACGGAATCCAGCTGAAACTTAATAATCAATTACAGCTCGCCGCTTCAATCCTCTCTGTGATTCCATTCCTTCTCCTCCCAGTGTTCACAGCAAGCTTCCTTGCTTCTGGAGAATGGGAGAAATGGGACGCCAACGACACCCACGTCCATCCGGAGAAGTACGGTAACTTGACGTCTCCAGACTTCCGCTTCTTCATCGGTGCCACCGCTGGACTCATCGTCGAGGCCGGAGCAGCTTTCCTCATTGCAGGTAGCCTAGATTTGTAAAAATTCCTTCTCCAATTCTCTCTTTTTTTTAGTTGAGCTCTTCAAGTACTTCCTCATCACCAGAATCTGGCGCGCCGAACACGACCTCGGAATTCACACCGAAGGATTCGACTGTCCATAAATCATTCTTTGATAATTGGAAACTGAATAAATTCATTGTTAACAAAAATTGTGTTTTTTTTTGCTCCGTTCTTTTTTCTTTGAAAGGGACATAGATTCGTAAAATGTTGCTGACCGCTGAGCAGCTGGTCCCCTTCTTTTTACTTAAAAAACTAACAGGTGCAGATGAATTCCATCTGGGGGAAATTTTTTTCGAGTCTGGTACGGACACCAGATGTCGAGACCCTGAGTGGAGCAAATGTGTATGGAAAAAGGACTATCTCCAATGAAATCATCAAAACGCTTTGTCATCTCACTCCTTTACGATTTTTGTTCGATCTGGTTACAAAAAATTGTTTCTTCATTCAACGATTTGTTGGAAACTTAAGGATTTTTGAAAATACATTAGAAAAAATGCATAACGAATCCAAGAGTCACAATGATTCCGAAAAGTGAGGGCTTAAAGAATTTAATAGAGAAATGTTCAAGAATTTTCAAATGAGAGAAAAAAAGTACTCAATTTAGACGATGAAATACGGAAACAAGGACATACCGTAAAACCTGAATTAAAAGAGCCCAATAGAAGGACTCTCCGAGTTGGGCTTGGAAAAATAGAAGGATAGGCTTTTCTAATACAGGGTTTATGGTATATGGTAGGAACTGCAGAGAAAATCGAATAATTTAAAATCAAATAAGAAATACAGGGGTAGGGGCAACGGGTAGAAAGAATGAATTAGAAGGGCATTGGAGGAAAAAAGTGGAAGATTAGACGAGAGGAACGTTGTCGATCAGATGCTCGATTTCCTGACTAATCACAGTTTCGTTGAGAATGATGTACTGCATGGCGAGAGCTGAAATTACGCGAAATCCGGATAGATCCAAAAGGATCTAAAGCTTACCAGCGATTAAGATGAAATTGACAGCAAGGTCCGTGATTATCCATTGAAGACCGTTTCCTCGAGAAATTGAAGTGAGAAGCTGGACGACCATTGTGATTGTAAGTAAATAGAAGCAAACCAACTGAAAAAGATTACAGAAGTATTTTTCAAAATTATAGAATAAAACTAACAGTGAGAGCTCGAACGAAACGGAGTGCTTTGATAACCTTCAATGAGAGCACAATGACCAGAAGACCATATACGAAGAAGACAGTGGCATAGATTGAGAAATGTTGTAAATCCAGCCGATATTGGGCGAAAGCATGAGCCATAATATGGAAACACCAGAAGAGACCAAGATTGTTTTGGTTAAAGATTGGTCTGTGTTGGAAAAGTTCATCCAGCATGAGACGGACCAGTCCGAGCCAAATACTGAGCTGTGACGATGGTGGAGTCGTTTGGGAAGGATCCATTGCTTTCTAGAAAGTTGAATTTGAAAAAAATCAGAAGCAGAGAAAGAGAAGAAAACTGAATCTAACTGTGAAAAAAGATTGAGAGACTCTAGACGGAGGACAGTTGCAAGACATCTGTTGCAAACTCCGCCCCCTTTCTGATGGTCTCGTCGCGAAGTATCTGGGACCCACATGAGTCATGATATATCGATTTTCAAAGTTTCCCGAGCTTTCTAATAAAATCTGTCTCCTTATTTTTACAGATGACTTCTTTATGAGACACTGCCTTATAAGTAACTTTCCAACTCTTCCATGAAAATATGATGATTCATTGAAGTAAAAAAGAAATGGAAACAATTTCAACGGGGGGGGGGGGGGGGGGGGGGAGGTGGAAGGCGGAGGCGAATAAAATAAAAAACGGATGTACAATACAGTGGCGAAAATTATTCTGAAGACACAAATCAATTAAAATTCCAAATCACTGATTTCACATAAATACCGGGGAACAAAATAGATTCAGGAGAAAGTGGAGACACCGATAAAGTATTCGACTAAAGGGAAAAGTTGGAGTTTGAGAATGTGATTGAGGTGTGCATGGGCGACAAGGTTGAAGGAGCTGGAGAATGCTGAAGAGTTGTAGAAGCCAAAGAAGCAGCTGACGATGGGGTGAACGAGACAGAAGCGACTTGCTCCACCGGTCGGGCTGGCCCGAAGCTCAGGATTTGCATTGCTGGAACTAACTCAAGCGAGTAGATGTGTTCATGGATCAAGATGTACTGAATACTCAGCGCTGAAATTGTGATAAATAATTAGAGATATCGCACATACCCTAAAACCTCTAATCGAAAGGCCCCTTCATTATCAAGTTCGAGCTAGTTTTTCTCGACTCCTATTCAAGATATGAAACATGTGTCACTGACAGAACACTGCTGATATCATGATAAAACGTTTTTAAGTTAACAACCTTTTTATATAATTCACAGGAACCGAGGAATACTGGCTCATCGTTCAAAGTTAGGGGCCCTTCTATTACAGTTTTTTGCGTTATCTTGATTCATGAACTTACCAGCCATCAGAGTGACATTGATCGAGAGCTCGGTAACCATCATATTGAAACTGTGCCCCGATGTGAGGGAGAAAATAAGCATAATGACCAACATTCCAACAGTGATGTAGAGGCAGACAAGCTGAAAAAAGGACTTGATTTTGGGTCAATAATTCAAAGGGTACAATAACTTAGAGGTCATTCGGGTACAAAATTCTCCATCCGGGGGTACAAAATACCTGGAATAGTTCGACTTTTGTACACACGAATTGTGGATATTGTACCCTTAAATCACTATGTACCCCCTTGTACCCCCGAATCGCTGTACCCTCCGAATTATGTGCCGTGATTTTGCAACTGATATTGATAAGAAAAACTGACCGTGAGAGCACGAAAGAAGCGAAGACCTTTGAGAGATTCGAGTTTAATGCATCCGATGAGAATGGTGTAAACGATGCCAGCTATGATGTAGAACATCATATTCATCTTCACGAGATAGTACTCCAAAAATAAATCGATGATCATCAAGAAGCACCACAACATGAGGAGGTTTTCCTTGCTGAACATCTTTCGATGCTTGAAGATCTCAGTGTAGACGTTGGTCAATGTTACCATTTTCTTCTGAAAAATGAGAAAATTCGAACGACAAACCAAATGAAAAAAAAGGAGAACAAATGTAAACGAAAATGTGATAGGAGGAACAAGAATGAGGATGGGCGAGGGGATAGGATCACATCCCCCTTTCAGGCACCGCCCACTTATCATGGGTCTCGCAACGAAATTGCGAACAACATTTGAAATGACTCATAACGCATTGTTTTTCCACAGATTTCCAGAATTTGATGAATCAGAAGAACTGAATAGGGAGATGAAAAGACATTTCTCTGCATTCTGGTTTTCTTTTTAAACGGTTGAATATAGTTCATAAAGGTTGATTGGAACTTCAAGAATACGTTTCTGATCTCAGGAAGCGAACATTTTACGAATTTTGTGTTTAATAAGAACTCTATTTATTGAAAAAAACAACCAATGTCTAAATTTCTCTATCTAAAAATATTTACTTGTTTTTTTGTGTTTTGTGGTACAGAACTATCCTAAATTTATAATGTTACCAGCAAGCTGGCGCGTCTTCGGCACGATTTAACCGAGTTTTTTACTGGTTGGTTGCTTCGCTCCTTGTTTTTTCTCAAACGGTCTCTCCTTGTTTTTTCTCAAAAAAGCTCCTTGTTTTTTCTCAAAAAATTCATTTTTATTTTTCAAGTTTTTCAAAAGTGGACAGCCTGACAGGGGGACCAACAGACGTGTGTAGCGTTATTTATAAGGAAGATAGTATTTTGGAACAAAAAAAATTAGCTGTGGAATAGAAACGCCGGAGGCCGTGGCCTAAGGTCCCACGGCGACGACTACCGTAACCTAAAAATATGTTCACTTTCAGGACTTTTCCACTATCGAAAATTTTAATTTCCCAATTTTTCAGGAAGAAAATAACAGATAAATCGATAAGAAATAGGAAAACACGAGAAAATAAGTCCTGAAAGTGAACACATTTTTAGGTTACGGTATTTTTCATACTTGTAAAATTCCGGGCCGGGCCGGGCCTGAGGAAATTTTCAAGGCCCGGCCCCGGCCCGGAAGGCCCGGTATCAAAAATTATGTATTTTTGAGCCAAATTTTGAGCTCTCAATATAATTTTCTCTTTTTGTTTTTGTTTTTTTTTGTTATTTTGGATTGTTTGTCTGTTATTTTGGATTGTTTGTCTTATGTGTTTTTTGTAATTTTCAAAACTTGTGAAATGACAGGCCGGGCCGGCCCTCCGAAATTTGGAAAAAAGCCCGGCCCGGCCCGTTACAAGTATGGTATTTTTGCTGTGGGACCTTCGGCCACGACCACCGGCGTTTATTTTCCATAGCTATGATATTTTTGTAAAAGCATAATGTCACAATCCTATATCACGAGGTTTTCGGTCCCTCACTCCATACTGCGCCTATCACCTCCTTTCTTTCTTTCCCTCTCCATCCTATTTTCAAATGACTAATTCTATCAAAACCCATTACATTACAGTATCCCCCACCCATGTTGACATTTACGAACATTTCGAAATAATGGGGGAGGGACGACATTTTATTTTCTTCTTTTTGTCACGAGCACTCTTCTCATTCTCCAGGTGCTCTCTTTTAGTACGGGTCGACACCATAGCCAGCTGTAGAACTTTTTTTGAAGTGCTGAAACAGATGTTATGCCCTTTCATCCTTCTGTTTTTATAAGATTTTCGTTTCCGTCTATCTTCACCTTCATAAACAAATGAATGAAAAAAGACGTTTTTAGGTTCAAAATGGACTCAACCTTGAGCGATCCTCCACCATCCTACGATGAAGCCGTGAGAGGAAGTTCGAATCCACCTTCTGAATTGATGGACTAGAAGCCATAAGACCACGACTCCGAACCCAAGATCTTTTTGAGTGGGAACGTTATCTCTTCACGAAAACCAACTTCTTCATTTTCTGGTGTCTTCTAATGCTGAACATCTTCACTGCTTTCTATGAATTGGGCGCCTTCCATATCGTGGTTTATGTGATACTCTGTGGAGTTTACATTGCCTTGATTTCCGCGACTCTACTTCGAATGCACCTTATACTTTCTGTTGTCCGCATGACCACGGTGAGATCCGATAGAACCAGTCGAGAATTACAATTGTGCTATTTTTGTAGCTATTCTTGGCCCTAATCACCACTATGATCACTGTAACCGGCATCATAACCGTCGAGTATGTGCTAGAGGAGGATCTGAAGCCCTTCACCGTAACCCTTCTCATTGGTTCAATTTTCAGTAAGTTCGAAATTGAAATATTCTCTATTGGTTATGTTCTTCTTTTCAGTGCTCCTGGTTCAATACTGGATTCTCAGAATTTTGGACAAGCACATGGAGATTCGAGAGTACCTTGAGGACATTGAACGCTTGCTCGAAGCTGGAGGAATCCAAGTCATGTGAAGTGGTTGGAGCATTTTTTCGTTTAAAACAACTGTGTTTCTCTTTTTTCTCCCTAAAACTCTTTGCTAAAAAAAGACGAATGGATCAAGGCATTTTATTTGACATGTTTTTCCATTATTCCTTTTTTACATCTCTAACTTTCCACAAACCAACAGAAAACCCTTCATTCATGTCCCACTCCCAGTATTTTTCCCAGGGAAACTCTCTTACATATCTGCATTTCTGTTTCCTTTAGTAGTTTGATGATACCGTAATGAGGAGGCTCAGAATCAGCTAATAAAATAATGAGGAGGCTCAGAATCAGCTAATAAAATCATGGCATTTTATTTTCTACCTATATAAAAGAATTCAAAAAATACGTTCAGAACCATTTTATTCAACTACTATATTTAAAGAAATAAAGAGAAAAAAGATCAGTTATTTTCGTCCTTTTTGGAGACATCTTTTCTCACTGGTCGCATGATCTGAAATTCAAAAATCAGTCTTGAAGACTCCAAAGTCTCACCTGGAATGAACATGTCAAGTTTTTATCAACATTCATCATGGCAGCAGCATTATCGAATTCTCCACAATAATGAGGAGCTGAGAAGATGGTGACGAGTCTCTTCTTGCAAAAGAATTCGTATCCATCTTGAACAACCTGATGAGCACGTGCCACCAACTCCACTCCCAAATTTGACATCACAGATTTGAGAGCGGCTTCTCCAAAAACTTGTCCGACGCCTCTTGTACTGTCGTCAAACCCATCAATAGTGGTATCTGGATCTGACCACAGAATGTCAATTTCCATGCTTGGATTTGGAACTTCCAGTTGTGGACGAGCAATCTTTCGAAGCTGATTCAAGTTCTTCATTTTGCAGCTGATCCCTCCGTGCATACAAAGAATCTTTCCAGAAACAAGAGCAGTCATTGGCATACAAGAGAAGGTGTACTGTAATTTTGAGAATAAGTCAATTTCCTAGAGAGAATCAGAAAACCTGGAAAGTGTTCCACAGTCCTGCCCCCACTTTCGGTCCGTATTTCCTACAAACTTCGTCTAGAAATCCATAGACACGATTAATCGATCCGCACTCATGATTGCCACGTAGCATGAAGAAATTTCCGGGAAACTTAACTTTGTAGGCCAAGAACAGACAAACGACTTCAAGACTCTGTGGTCCACGATCGACGTAATCACCGAGGAAGAGATAATTGACGAGTGGAGGGAAACCACCTCGATCAAACAGACGAAGCACATCGGAATACTGTCCATGAACGTCGCCACAGATTTTGACAGGTGCTTCGAGTTCCAGCATTACTCCTTGTTTCATGAAGACATCTCTGAAGATTTTATCAATATTTTTTTAAAGTTATTGATTACCAACTTGACGACATCCAACAAAGAAAATAGGTGTTTTGTTGATATGATCGCCTCGAAATTGGTTCCAATCGATCCTATATTTAGGATTTTGACAATGATCTCGTCTACATTAAAATCGCCTGGAAAGCAAAATTAGACTAATGTTCAAAATTTGCCTTCTGGATTTACTTTTATTGTTGACATTCCCATATGTCGAACGGGTATTCGCCATCTTCGACGAATCGAAAAATAGAATCGAAAATGAGTAATTTTCAAATCAAAACCACACAACACAATCCGCGTCACAAGAAAAACAGCAATTTATTAATATGTCAAGATTTTTACAGATGTCAAAAAAGTATGTCACAAACAAGGTCTCTAGAAAATTTGTTTTTTGCTAAAATATTTTCAAATATTGGACTGAATCCAAGCAACCAGCTCAGATTTGTAGACCATCATCCAGTTGAAATTCCTTTGAACCAATGAGATTCCCGCTTTGTATGTCTTCTTCTGGTCCGCAGTTAGAAGTTCCCAGTCGAATCCATTTGTGAAGTCGGTGGCAAGGTCCAATTGATTCTGGGTGCTCCAGTTTTGAAACATTGCTTGAACGTAGATGGAGAGATCAAATGGAGCATTGAGAATCTGAAAGTTGAGATTTTAGAAAAAAAAACTTTATAGGAGATTTATAATAGCATGCAGATAGTTTTTTGTGTCTCTTTAGCACACGGGAAAAGCAGTCTAGAAATTGAAGCTCGCCATGTGCTCAAGAGGTCCAAATATCCATATTTATACTATAATACTAGTCACTTACATCAGAAACATTGTCCATCCAGAAATTATACATAATGTATCCGGAATCATCATGTAGAGAAATTGAATTCAAGAGAGAAGGTGGATAATCTCCTACTAATATGCTTCGGAGCATTCTGAAAACCGTATTCCTTCATTTTTCAGAATTCATACAAAAGTACTCACGATTTCAGCAAAACGTTATTACTTGAGCATCCGAGAGCATTCAAAAGATTGGCACCGTCCGTCTGAAGGTATCCAGCATTTTGTGTGAACCAAGTATACAATCCGTTGACTGCGTTATAATCCTCGAAGCCCAAACTTTGACGGAGACCATAGCAGTAAACTGCTGATCGAAGATTTGGATGAATTCCTGAACATTTTCCAGTTCCATCCCTGGAATATTGACACTTTTTGACGAAATCGTTGAACAAAGTTTGAGCAACTTGTCTGGTTTGTCGGTCACCAGAAAGATTATTGACATTTACCAAAAGTTGAACGATTCGACTGAAATTCAGGAATTTCGTTACAGTATAAATCATTGCAAAACTGACTCATTTGTCCAAATTCCATTAGTGGTCCATCCAAATTTGCTAACAGCGTTTTTGGTAATTTTAATGACGTAGTTTTGCATCAAATTCAATTCTGGCTGATACTGGAATCGATTCAAAATTTCGTTGAAAAATGTGATCGCTTGTTCCCAGGGTGCAAGTGAATCCTCGTTCACCAGATACAATGTGAGATCCAAATATTTTCTCATGTCCCATCGGCCAGTTCTGCAGTTTAAAAATTTTGACAAATGAAAAAAAAAATTAAAACAAACTCGTAGAAGAAATTAGCATCATCCAAAAGCATAGCTCTTGTTGTCGCAGATACAGAATTGTAGTTGGAAAGAAGTTGAGCTTGGATACTGTACCATGATTTATCGTCGTAGTTGATTCGAGCGAAACTCTGTAATATAAGTATTCGAAAACGTTTATGCAAAAGTTTCAAAATTCCTACCGTACTACCCGCATTATCGATTCGGAATGGTGATGGCAATGGTCGCAACCAAACGTTATCATTTCCTCCGGCATAGTCAACGAACCAGTTGAAATCTGAATGTTTGGGTGTTTTTAGAGAACTGCAGGTTGAATAAGAACCTGTCGATTGTTGAGTCTGTGTGAACAGCGGAATATTCCAAAGTGCAGTTCCACTCATACATGATTGTTGAGTGGCTTGAACTGTAGATGTTCCGCGAAGAGCCAACGTGATGATTGGATAGGATGTTTGGAGAGTGTAGGCGTTCATGAAAGAGGATACATTCAAAGGTTGACCATTCCAGTCGGTTAAGTTGTTGCTTTGAGCAGCCTAAAAAATCGATAAAAAATATTCTGAAAAAGATCATAAGCTCTCACCACAGTTAAGAAAGTCCACAAATCTTGAGGACTAGCATTTGAGTAGCCAAACTGGGTCAAATAAGATTGCAAGCCTTGTTGGAATACAGCGGGAGTTAAAGCGTTGTTGAGGAGATTCAAAAGAGCACTTCCTTTGTAATATGGCTCAATTCCAAACACTGGTGGAGTATCACTGATTACTGGTTTAGCATATCCAGCAATGCAATCGTACTTCAGGGCAATGTGATTCATGTAGAAACGGTTGTAGTCCTGAAAATGTTTCTTTTCAAATCAGAAAAAACAATATTCTAAAAACTTACAATAGCATAATCGTGTTGTTCTGGGTAAGTGTTATCGATTCCATTGGCAAACCAGTATTGAGCGAACCCTTCGTTCAGGAAGATATCATTCCACCAATCAAGTGTCACAATATCTCCAAACCACTGATGCACTACTTCATGAGCAGTTGTTTCAGCAACTTCGGCGATTTGAAGAGTAGTTGCATAACTAGGATCATACATGAAAAGACTGTATTCTCCGATGATGAGACCCCAATTTTCCATTGCTCCAGCATCTTGGGTATACTCGGGAAGAGCCATCACATCTGAAAATAGAAGAATATAGAGAATTCTAATACACTGCTGGACATAATTATAAGTTCACTTTGAATTTCGAGTTTTCTCGAAAACTGTGAATATAGACTGAACAGCATATAAACGCAATAAATACTATTTTGAAATGTCAATTAATTAATACCATTCGATACCACTATCGTTTCTTGATTTTGGAAATTTCTAAAAAATCGAAAAAATGACCCGAAAAAAAGGGACATAATTATAAGTTCACTTGAAACAATCGAGCATAATTCGGGATATAGGTTTTGCACTGTGAGGAAACTGCAAATTTTAACAAATATAACTCAATATAGTCCTATTAGCATAAGAAACTTGGTTGTATCTATACTCATAATTATGCCTCATCCGTTTTTGGCCAGCTTATACTGAAAATGAAGTTTTTCGTTGATAAATGTCCTGAAAATTACGAGGACTCTAACTTTTTGAGTTTTTTAGTATTATTCTTAAATTCATTCCTCATTTAACTGTTGAAAACATTAAGATTTTTTCACAAACCGGAGAAAAAACCCGCATTTCAGCTCATTTTTATCGCTATGTTCCAAGTGGTACTGTACCTTGCTCAGTAGAAACTTGACTGAGCTAATTAGCATATAAGAAAGATACACTCGTGTTTATTGAGAAACATACATAAAATCATGAAAATCTGTATTTGTGTTCATGGAATGACGCAAAGTGCCGGACCACATAAATTCCAAGCATAAAATTTGGTTATGGATAGACATGTTTAAGGAGTTGTTTTGTAAAGAAGGAAACACGTAATCTAGAATTTTTTTCTGTAATCACACTTGCCGGTTCTCGAATTTACATATAATTAGGGAAATTGTTTAAGTATTCCGGTATAGACAAACAATGAACCTTGGAAAACTGCAATTTTTTGAAAAACATGACCTATTTCCGAGCTCTCAATTTTTGTTTAGAAACAGTTTCACCTATTTTAAAGTTGCTGAACATATTGAAAAAGTCCGAGTATATGTTTTTGTAGTTGACGTCTCTTTTCGAAACAATCATTCCGAAGAGATATGAAGTACCTTCTGAGGTTAGAAACGTAGGTTATTGACTGATTTTTTTTTACTTGAAGTGGACCTATCAAAATGAATCTTTTTGCATATTTTATTTGCAACTTTTCCAATGTGTTCAGCAACTTTAAAATAGGTGAAACTGTTTCTAAACAAAAATTGAGAGCTCGGAAATAGGGTATGTTTTTCAAAAAATTGCAGTTTTCCAAGGTTCATTGTTTGTCTATACCGGAATACTTAAACAATTCCCCTAATTATATGTAAATTCGAGAACCGGCAAGTGTGATTACAGAAAAAAATTCTAGATTACGTGTTTCCTTCTTTACAAAACAACTCCTTAAACATGTCTATCCATAACCAAATTTTATGCTTGGAATTTATGTGGTCCGGCACTTTGCGTCATTCCATGAACACAAATACAGATTTTCATGATTTTATGTATGTTTCTCAATAAACACGAGTGTATCTTTCTTATATGCTAATTAGCTCAGTCAAGTTTCTACTGAGCAAGGTACAGTACCACTTGGAACATAGCGATAAAAATGAGCTGAAATGCGGGTTTTTTCTCCGGTTTGTGAAAAAATCTTAATGTTTTCAACAGTTAAATGAGGAATGCATTTAAGAATAATACTAAAAAACTCAAAAAGTTAGAGTCCTCGTAATTTTCAGAACATTTATCAACGAAAAACTTCATTTTCAGTATAAGCTGGCCAAAAACGGATGAGGCATAATTATGAGTATAGATACAACTAAGTTTCTTATGCTAATAGGACTACATTGAGTTATATTTGTTAAAATTTGCAGTTTCCTCACAGTGCAAAACCTATATCCCGAATTATGCTCGATTGTTTCAAGTGAACTTATAATTATGTCCCTTTTTTTCGGGTCATTTTTTCGATTTTTTAGAAATTTCCAAAATCAAGAAACGATAGTGGTATCGAATGGTATTAATTAATTGACATTTCAAAATAGTATTTATTGCGTTTATATGCTGTTCAGTCTATATTCACAGTTTTCGAGAAAACTCGAAATTCAAAGTGAACTTATAATTATGTCCAGCAGTGTATCATAATTCACTCACCTAGTTTTTTCAATGGATAATCGAAAGAGAAGTATTTAGACATAAATTCCAGTGTTCCAACAGTTACATTCAATGCCATTTCTCCATATTGTTCCATTCCAGACCAAGTCCAGACTCTAGCCAATGTTCCAAACTGAGAGACCTTTGCCAAGTTGGAAAAGTGACCAACACAGATCGCAAAAAGGTAAGAAGACATTCTTTCTGTTGACTCAAAAGTGGTTTTACTCCATCCATTAACCATAATTTGTGTTCCCGTTTCCAGAGCATTTGATAGTGCGATCATGTCGGTTGAATGCATCACATCAACCAAGAATCTTCCCTTATAGCTCGGTTCATCCCAACATGGAAGAAGTGATCGGGCTCCTGGTCCTCCTTCGAAATCAGTCGTAAATATCCATCCTTTTCTATTATTCAAACCCCCAAAATACGTGTTTGATGCATCTCCTTCATTAGGATTTTGGAAAATGAATCCATTGTATTGGAATGCTAATCTGTATTTTTGAGGGAACAAAGTCAGTTGACCAGATGGTGGTATCGTCAGCACTCCTCTATCGTAATCCTTGGCAACATTTCGAGAATCTATCAAAATCGCCTTCTGATTTCCGTCATCATCGATTGACCATAGAGCAATTCCATCAGAATCAATAGCCAAACGATGAGCATTTATTTTGATAGCACTGGTAGGTTTTGTCAATGTGAAATCGATTTGTAAACCAGCAGAGAAAGTCATATTTCGGTAAGATTGGAAAAATCCAGAGCCAGGGATGTTTGGTTGAAGAGAAAGTGTGTAGACCGGATCGATGACATCTCCATTCAGACTGCAAATAATTGATTTCTTTATGTATCTGGAGAAAAGCAAAACGTACGCTTTGTCCCACGGAGTTTTTCCAATAATGACAACGTTATCGTAGAGCCAATTGAGCACCTTGAGACCGTAAGTTGAACGATATCCCCACTGAAATAACCGTTTTAATCAAAGCTCTAAAAGGAAAAAAGACTTACCGCTTGATTGATTCTGTCCAGGTAATTACTGAAAGTCTGGAATTGAGCATCCGTCAAGTCCATGGAGTTCATCAACGTGGCGAATTGAGCATCTCTTTCGTAACTGTTCCAGTTGTAGGTCATTGAATCCAAATAAGCATTCAGGATTGGAGAGCTCACAAGCTAAAATAACATTTTACTTGTAAAAAAAGAATTTCTACAAAGTTTACCTGTGGGTTCGCCGACAAATAGTTATACAAAGCATCTCCAGCTACTGGGTTGTACTTCAAAAATCCAAAGATAGTGTTTGAATTCAAAGTGGATGTTGAGAAGAGACGGATTAAGCTGCAATAAGTAACATATATCGTCGAGTAATAATTAACAAAACAAACGTTTTCAAAGTGGCTGGCATTTGAGTACAACTCATTCCTTCCAAAAGTGACATGTATTCTTGATAAAAGTATGGATTTGTAATGACTTCTTTGTTGTAAGCATGTAACATTTGGAAGAAGAAATCAGAAGTTGCTGGAGCATATTTAGCAGCACCACAGTAAATTGCTTTTCGAACATTTGTGGGGTATGGATTACACCAGGCAGTTCCATTCAAACTGTTCGAACAGGCAGATTTTACGTTCGCGAACATTGTCATTGTGCGTTTTTCGACGTCTCCAATTCCATAACGAACGGCGAATGGGAGGAAGACTTCCGAGAATGTGCTGAATCCCATTTTTTGTTTTTTTTTCAGTTTTTTTCTAATGTTAAAATACATACTCTGAATCCCAAATAGTTGTATCGGTCCATGGAAGAGTGTTGTACACATTTTGGAAAATCTTCTTGTACATTCTCTAAAAAAATCATTTGATGGAAAATATTTGAAATTGTTTACCGAGATCAGTTCAGCATCGATAGTGTCTCTATACATCTGAGCAACTTGTTCCAAAACTATTTGAGCTTGGGCAAAGGCTGAATAACTTGGGAATTCGATGAAATTGGCAGTGTTGAAGTATGCCATCGCCAAGTTCAAGAAGCGATCGTAGCCGTATGGACGGCCAGCATTTTTTTCACGGCTGTAAATTTATAATTGTTCCTTTTGATTTACTTTAGAAACACTTACAGCATGTAATAATATTCATCGGCCATCAGTTGCAGAGCAATATTGTCGTTGATTCCATCCTGTTTGATAGTCTTGAGGACTCTATCAAAACCAATATCATCATAAATAACTCTTCCGTAAGTAGCAGATCCAATTGTTGTAAAATCCCATTGAGTTGCTCTCTTCTTTGGTTCTTCTACCTTCTCAACTTCTGGAGTATTTGGACATCCTTGTTGTCTGGGAATCCACAACAAATGAGGCTCCGGATAAACCAAAGTTGATGTTCGGAGTGGCACATCCCATTTATAGTTCCATTGAGTTGCATTCAAATTGTCCAAACTGGCAAATGGTTCCTGGGTGAATGAAGCTATTCCAGCAACTTTTTGATTATTATTGTATCTGATCAATGGATGATTGGTTTGATGAAGATATGGGGCCATGAAATCGGTGACATTGAGAAGATTTCCACACCAATCCTTGATGTCGTTGGCTTTCGCAGTCTGAATGATGAATTGTGTAAAGATTGAATACTTGAAAAAACTCACATCAGTCAAAGTAGACATGAGATCAATATTTCTGGCATTCGAATATTTCATTTTGTTGAGATAATCTCTGATTCCTTCCTTGAAATAAACTGGTCCAAGAACATCGGAGAGCATTCTGAGCATAGATGCTCCCTTGTTGTAAGTGATATCATCGAAAGCAGGTCCATCTGGATAAACGAGAGGATGAGCATCTGAACGAACGTCGGCATTCAGTCCAACTTGAAGCTCATTGAGCACTTGAATGGTATCCTAGAACATTTTTTGATTTTTTTTTCAAACTCAAATCTGACACAAACCAAATAATTTTGTTGTTCTGGATACACATATTTCTGAATGAATGTCATGAAATAATCAGCGAATCCCTCGTTCAAGAACAAATCATCCCACCAGGCAGTGGTCACAAGATCTCCGAACCATTGATGTGCAAGTTCGTGACACATTACTTTGGCGGCTGCTTGCATATCTCTCGTGGTCATTGTCTGTAAAACAATTATTTAACTTTAAGACAATTCACACTTACAGTAGGGTTGTAGGCAATATATTGGTACTTGTAGATGATCAATCCCCAATTTTCCATTGCACCAGCTAAGAATTCCGGCATTCCAAGTTGATCTAAACGCCAAATCGTAACTGAATGTGGCCCTTGAAAACACTCACCGGCTTTAGAAAGTGGGAACTTGATTCCAGTATATTCTCCGAGTTGATAAAGACAGTCACCAGCATTTGTGGCAGCAAATTGGAGATATTGCTCGGTTCCTGGCCATCCCCATGCTCTTGTCTGAAACTTTTCAATCGTTTACACAGGTAGTGTTCCAATAGCGGACGAGCGGGGTCTCATTGTCAGCGGCCACAAGTGTAGCAAAAATGGGCTAATCGCCGCTGAAGGCCCATATGACTTTTAAAGACTTTTGTCAAAATTTCTAACTATAAGTAATCAAATTCTAACTATGCGTTTTTCGATTTCTTATCAGAAACCTCTCTGATTCTGAACGGACATTTGGAGGCTGAACGGCGGCTGAATAGAAGCGAGCGTGCTACTGACGGGAGAAAGGCAACATTTGTTTGAAAAATAAACTGAATCTTTAGGTTTTAGAAAAACTAAAATATTGAGCTGAAAAAGTTTAAAAAAATACCAAAGTTCCATGTTGATTGACATATTTCGAGTTCACATACGATCCAACTGCAAACGCTGTCAGGTACGAGGACATTTTTGGAGTGGGCGGGAATGCGATTTCACTCCAGCCATTTCTAAAAAGGAATAACTCGCTCTTAAACTTCTTGCTTCATGACTAACCCCATATCTGTTGCCGGAGCCTCCTCCATATTCGATAGAGCAACATGAACACTTGGGTATTGAAGAGTGATTTGGAAAGTCTGAAAATTCGAATAAAATCCAACATTTGTATGTGTTCCTCACAGCTTTGTATGATGGTTCGTCAAGACATGGGAACACTTTTCTGGCCGAGAACGGCTCCATGTGGGTGGCAATCATGTAACTGGAATGAATCGTTTTTTTTTGCTGCCTTCCCAGAGAAAAAAGCTTACTGTTGAACTCCTTGTGGGTCATTGAAGGAAGAGTAGTAAACTCCACCATCTGTATACGGATTGATGATTCCAGTATAAACAATTTCGATGTTATAAATTTGACCGGCTACCACACCTCCGGCATTTGTAATCAACGAAAGTTGTTGTGTTGTGTCATCTTGTGCTGTAAATAAATGACTGTGTGACTCTTGAACCAAATTTCTTATCTTTCGCTTACAAATTGAGTTTATTGGAACAACAGTTCCATCAATCGCCACCGCTTTATAACTTTTAATTTTGAAATTGTAAGAATTGATTACGAATCTATCAGAGTCGACCAGTGCCTCCACTTGCATACTCGATCTTCCATCAAACGTAAAATTTTTTTCTGCAATTTCAGTTTCCGTTTACATCACATGCGAGAAAAAGTAGTGAAAAGTTTAAGTACCTGGCTCGTATTGAACATTGGGGCAGGGGAAATACGGTTTGAACCAAAGAGTATAGTCAATGGCAAATAGATTGGGTGGAAGACGGGTTTTTGTAACGTACAAAGATTGGCGTTTTCTGAAAAAAAAACTTATGGTGATGAGTCTGAAGGGGTAGGATAGAATTGAAGTTTTCTAGAAATGTCGATTTTCAGGATCAAATTGTAAAACTACCGTATCTCGCCTGATTTTAGCCAAAACACCAGCTTTTTTTTGTTTTTCAGATTTTTCAGCTTTACAGCTTTCAATTGAATAAAACCACCACTTTGGATATCAGTTTTGAGGTTAGAGACACAGTGTGTCTCAATTTGAAAAAAGAGGTTGTCAGAAAGAACCGACTTATATTTTGAGAAACGATTTTAAACAACTCACCTTGCTTCTAATTTATCTTGTCTGAAGTTATCTGGATGTGCTGGAAGGATATGTGGATGGTTGAATTCGACATTTTCGATATTCGGCTCATTCGCTGTAATTAGATCATCCTTTTCAGAACCTCTTCAATTCTACCTTACCTGGGGCCTCTGAATCCGTCAATGGTGCTGTTGATACAGTGCAAAGCAGACACAGAGCAATAGATGAGAATATCACTTTCCGCCGCATTTCGTAGTATCAGCAGCAGCAGAATGGAAGACGAAACCCCTCTGTGTTATCTGTCGAGAGTTTGCTCTGACTATTTCGGAGCACGAAGTGCAGCCACTGTACTTTTCTTATCAGTGCCTGATGTCACAATGAGCTGACAAATCTAATTATCAGTTTTAATCGTTTTCACCACACTTCAAATACTAATTTCCTAAATGTCGGTTGGGGGCAAAGTCATATCTGGGAGTCAGGAGTTGTTGTAACTCCGATAAATGTTTGTTAGTGTTTCAGAGATTGTGTAACTAAAAAATCTCACAGAACATGTTTATCAAGTTGGAGGGTAATACATATTAGTTAAACATTCACTCTGAAGTTTTCCTCCCTCTGATTCTGGATGTGGCAAGCCGCAGTCAATGACACTGAAATGAAAAACCTACTGAGGGATAATATGAAATAAATCCTACTCAGCATTGTTACAACGAACAGGGTGGCCGTTCCGAGAGACAAATTGTCGATGGCCAAACGCCAAGTGAGCATTGGTACGATGGTCTAAAACGTCTTATGGGGTTATTCGAATATCAAATATCTGATCAGGGAATCCGCAAAAAAGGAAAAAACTCCGCGAAAACTCGGAGAGTGTTCTAATCTGGCTGAAACTTTGGGCAAAACTGGAGAAAACTATAGGAAACATTTTGCCAAAGTTTGGGGTCAAAATATCAACTTTGAA